GCATTCCCCCGGAGGAGCTGGAGGAAGTGTCTGGAGAAAGGGAAGTCTGGGCATCTTTCCTTAGACTGCTGCCCTCACGACCCGGTTCCGGATAAGCAGAGGAAAATGGATGGATGGATAGACAACAAGCTGGTCACACATCTCCAAAGAACTGAAGACCCCACATACAGCTGACAAAGGACATGGTTAAACCTGGCATTTCCTGCAGTACTGAAATTAATGCAATAGTAAATATACTTGATTTCCATGATGTCAGGACAGGCCTGTAGAGCAGAAGCCAAACTAGCTGCTCCCACTGCCGTCATACTGGTACCACAAAACCTTGAGAAGGCAAAGAAAACAACCAGTTACTGTTGATAAGGATTACTTCTACTACAATCTTTACAGTATTTCAAAGGCAGATACACAGGTAAAGCAACATTCACATTATCCAAATGTCAATCTGTCAGAAATAAAGAAAACTGAAAGAAAAGCTGCACTGGTTACAAGATGAAGCAGTAAAGAGGATTTTTTATTTATTTGTCTCAGCATCCCAGATACAGTAGAGGATTCTATACTAGAATTCATATGGCATTTCTAATGCCTGGCATACAATCTTATTTGGGCCACTGAAAACATTACATAAATGCATATACAGCAGGTGCATTATTGAACACCTAAATGTCAAGTGACACATTAGTTTATATGTAAATCATGATCCAGATATAAAAGGTTTATGGTTGGACAAAATAGCAAAACATTTCATCTTACTCAAATTTTCTCAGCGTTCTCAATTCAGGCAAAATGGAAGACAACTTCACAGCAAACGTGTCGCCGTACTTGCGGCTGCGAAAACTGAAAAATAATATGCATCATTCAAAATGAAATAAGACACAATGTTAAATTAAAAGCTGAGATGCCATCACTCACTCAAAATGTATCAGATTTGCGCAGCGTACAAATGGAAGTTTTCACTTCTATATGGGTCATAGAATTGTTATCAATGTTGCTTTGTTCATGTCACCAATTTGATTTGTTATCCCAAAACCCCCTTTACAGTTTGACCGTATACTCGTCTGATCCTGGGTGACAATATTTGTATACTTTATGCAAAAAGCATAAGTGCAAGGGATCTCTGTGTGTTACTGACACTGGGACCAGTGACACAGAGGCCTCAACTGCTGCTGGCATAAACCGGCTTGTTTGTTACTGTCCAAAATTGCTTTCAGTCTGTTGTGCACAACTCTATGCTCCACCATTGTCTGTCAAGCTTATGGACAAGAGCTTCATTGTGTTTTACAGATGTTTTACAGTGTAGTCTGTGTCCTGGCCAGTTTTGCTTTACTGTTTGCTTTAGAGTTGATCTTGCCTGATGAAGGGCCTCTTAAGTTACATGCAAATGTAGACAGTGTTAATTCTCCTCTACAGCCGGCCTGGTGCCCTTTAATTTCTACCCCTTTTAATGTCCTTTAAAGCAGTCAGTTGTCCAGGCTACCATATTTCTGCTTGTTACAGAAAGACACTGGCATAGGGACACCAGAGGAAAAAAGAGCTCCAGTCAGTTTCACAGAATGTGAGACAGGTTAGCTGAGGAATGACAAAGTCAAAGCAACAGCTTGTTACAGAACCATATTTACTGCCTGCTTGCAAACACTCCCATTGTGAATCTCAGCTCAGGATTTTGCATAAGTGATTGATTTTAAATATGCAGCAGAATTTGCACCAATGAAGTGAGGATACCTCTGAGGTGAATATCATATAGAACAAATTAAAATTTTGCTTCTGAATTCATTTGAAAACGCTATTTTTCATTATCAAAAGAAAACACAATTTTATTTTAATTCTGAAAGTGTGTGCATGTGTATGCTATGGTATGTTATGCATTGTTTTGACTGAGTGTTTGTCCTCCCACCTGAGGCAGTGAATATACTGACACTGGGGCAGGATATCTAAACATTCCGGCTCCATTGAGCATGCTCCAAAGTCCAATCCGACACCAACATCATCAGCTGAGTTAACTACAAAGGCCAGAGCATCAATATCATCAGGTAATAGGTAGATGTTGCGCAGCTCCAGGGTGGGCCTCGTTCTCACAACACATTTGGCCAGTCGGTGGTCCTGGCTCTCCTGGACACAGTGACAAAGCTCGAGTATCTGGGGAAGGTGTAAGAAGAGACAGGCAACATTGATTAAAAAAAAAAACCTGTACAGCTAAACATTTACATCTGTTTATAGTCTTTCAATTCTCCTCATTCTACCTTTGGTCCAGTCAGGGTGTTGCTGTGGCACAGATTTCCTAGCAGTTTCAGAATGAAGGCTTGTCGTTTCTGGACCCAACTTTGACCTCCTCCTCCAGAAGCCTTGGCAAATTCAACAAGGGTTGGAGTGCAGCATGAGGAAGCCAAACCACAAACATACAGGTGCAGTGAGTCAGTGAAAACCGTTCTCTGGTCCGACTTGGTCATCCAGCGAGTTTTCAGACTGAATCTAAAAGAGCAATGAGGAAGAAGACAACTGTCAGTTTATTAGATTAAGACTGGACACCCTGGACAGAGTGATGTAGTGGTCATGCACATACGGATGCATGTTAATGTCATGATCCCTGGCCACTTTCTGTTGGAACTTTTATTTTGAAACTATTTCCTGCCTTATATACCCTCACTTGCCCCAGCTTTACTTTAGTTTTGATTACTCTGGATTGTTTGCACCTTATCATTTCCCTGTTTTCCTCCTTTTATATTCATCTCACTTTGCTCTGTTCTTGGCTGGTTTTTCCGTTATGTCACCTGTTGTCTCCTGTTTAGGTTGTCAGTTAAGATCTGTTTAGAGCACCTGTTATCGTCATATTGCATGCCTTTTTCTCCTTTTAATTTCACCTGCTCTGTCTTTGCCTGGTATTGTCTCCTGTTTGGTCCTCTGTTATTTTACCCTGCTATTGTGTCCAGTTTTGTCCTAACCAGTTATCCGCTCCCGTCTTGTCCTTGACTCTTATCCTCTGCCTGCATCTCCTTGCCTGTCTGCTTTTCACTTGTGTCCATCTCAACTCTATCCTGTCTCCGTTACCGGTTTCCCTGTTTGTTCCCCACTGTACTCTGTTAACTTGACTTGGTTGCCCCTTTATGGTATGCATTTGTTTTTCTGTCTCCTTCATCTTACGTTACCTATGCCCTCACCTTTGATTATTTGGTCATAGTTAGCTTTATCTCTTCAGTTAACTGAATTTGTCATTGTCCATCAGTTTGCCTGCCCTTGTTCTTTAGTCAAGTTATCTGTCTGCATTTGGGTCCTGACTCAAAAAAACTTGACAGTTGAGCAGGTCTCCCCCTTACACCTCTTTGATCTCACTTTACTATCTACAGTGTACCGTCAACAAAGGTGAAACAGATTCACCTTCAGAAAAGCTCCACTGAGGGAGACTCCCCTGGCCTTAACATTGTGCCTTTCCAACTCCCTTTGGCTTCTGTGAATTCATTTCCTTACCTCCTCCTGAGTTGCATGTCACTAACATCATTACTGGTCATGATTCTGAGAGCAGCCAAAAATTCCTGTAATGTCAGATGAATGAAGCAGTAGGCCTTGACAAGCACCCCGTCCTCACGTCGGAGCTCCACCTTACAGGAAGACAGGGACAAAACATATTATGACATGTTCTGTGAAGCTGTAATTCTCACCGTAAAGACAACCAGGTTATGAGATGAGCATGGAGGTCTGCTTTAATCCTGATCTGTCATGGAGTGGTAAATGTAGAATTGCCCAGAGGGTGTTAAAATTTAAAGACCAAAGGGTTGTAGTGACATAAAGCATATTAAAAAGGTTTATGTTGTGAGCATTAAAATTTTAACATGTGATTACCACAATAACATGTTTGTGAATGTACAAGCAGAAAGGTAACTATATTAAATGCCTACTTTTTTATATCAAGTTATTATAGTTCATCCTCTAGAGACCATAAAATGTCAACAGTGCCATGGTCATGCCTGCTAAATCCCATCAAAAATCCACTCCAGTATTATTGTGTTTACTGCAGAATAACAGGCATAGTCCTCCCCATTTCTGTCAGGGTCGGCACACAAAGCTGCCAATGATGTCAAGGAGGAACTCAAGTATAGAGCCAGACGAGTAAAAGCGGAACACTCTCTCTTTAATAAGAGTGCTGGTAACAAACAACGATAACACAATGCAGGTGTCATGATCCTGCCCCGCTGGCTTCCTGTCCCCAGCTCACCCTGACTCTCAGGCACTTTACCTCATTACTCTAAAGTGCTTTCACCTGCTGGTCAATCACTCACACCTGTTTACCTCAGTATATAGCAGCTCCTCACCCTGTGGGGAGCTGCCAGATTGTTCTTTGCCTATCCTAGACTCTCCAGCGTTTATCCCATTGCCTGTTATTCTGCGAACGAAACCTTGCCTGTTTAACTAACGATTTTTGCCTTGCCCCGCCCCTATTGTTGGACTGCTAAGCCTGTTATCGACACCCTTGCTGAGCTACTGACCAAAGATTCTGCCTGTTTGACTGTTTCTCCTTCACCTGAGCTCTCCCACATGGACAAAGAAACTTCATTCTGTTGTCTCCAAGTACTGGCCTTTTAATTGGGTTCACACCTCTACATTGATGGAAGCTGCACACACTGCTCCCTGACAGTAGGATTCTGATTCAGCACATATCACTCTCAGGTCCATAATACAGTCCAGGGTCAGAGCCAGCAAAATTACACATTCAAGGTCTCCACGAAAGCACGGTCAAAAAAGGAAGTCCAAAGATCAATACACAGAAAACAAACAGAGTCAGAAGGGTTAGGCAGTACTCGGTAGTCACAAGGCAATCCAGGGTCAGAGCCGGAATCACATGTACAGGATAACCACTGGAAAGTCTGAACAGGCATTAGAACAATCTGGCAGCTTCTTGGTGTGGGGAAGCTGCCTATATGCTGTTGTAAGCAGGTGTGAGTAATGAGAAGCAAGTGAAACCAATGTGGGTGATGAGATAAAGTTCCCGGGAGTCAGGGTGAGCTGGGGACAGGAAGTAGTGTCAAAATAAAAGCATGGGACTGGAAGCAGTGGGACAGAATCATGACAATTTCACTGTGGGCAATTTGGTTTGAAATACTGCAAAGGATGAACAATAAGAGAAAAGCAGCTACAGTGAGCTGGTCAGATAAAAAGTTGCAAACAACAGAAGAACCTCTGACGTCATCTGTTTTACCTATACCTTTTACCACCTTTTTCCTACTGTATGGAAAACTCCTTGCACCACATCCACATACTCTGTGTTAATGCTACTGACTACTGCAGGTTTTCCAATTTTAGGAATATTTGGCAGAACGGTGACAGTACAGTGTCACTGAAGAATATTTTGGATAGGTTATGTAATTTAATTTTAAATGCTAAGAAAATGTGTTCTAAACTCCTATTTCCCACAATGAACTCAGTTATTATCCAAAGATAACTTACCAACAGCATGTCCAAAATTACTGAAAAAAAAAGCCACATACACTGCCTCCAGCACCCTACATCCTTCAACAACTACTATAGTTTTAGAAAAAATCCTTCACACACACATTCGATTACACAACTATGTCTGACCTCTGAGAAGAGCCCTGTCCTGACTGAAAACTCCAAAACATCTGGAGAAATGTCTTCTTCCATGAAGAGGATCTTGCTTTCCTCCAGACCTCTCCAGGCCAGTCGACTCAGCTCACACAACTCAGACTGATACTGAGTCAGAGTGGAGCTGCACAAAATGACAGAAAAAAAATTAATTAATTTGTTTAAAGGTTTGTAGAATTATTATGTTTAGTACTCTGTCTTTACCTCTGTAGAGTTCTAATGGTTTTTGCCTCATCAATTTTTCCTCCTTTATTAGAGTCACAGCTCAGAAATGCTTCAAGAACAGTGAGGTAAACCTGGGTATGGGTGGAAGGGATCTGTACTCCTTTTACTTCCTTTTCTGTTGCTTTTCTTCTTGTATTACATTCTCTTTCTTCTTCTCTGTCTCCAGATTGTACGCTTGTTCCTCTGTCTTTATCTTCTAGCAGCAGATGCTTCAGACAGATGCAGCAGATGTTGCAGAGGGCAGGGAGGGATGACATGGCAAGGAGGTGTCGACTGGAAAGAAGGAGATCTGCTGCCCTGAGAGCTCTGTTTGCCGAGTCACCTTTGGAGATAAGTCAAAATTTGTTTAAGCCTGTAATATTTGAGTCATATGAACTTAAGTTTCTTTTCCGGGGGGTTCCTATGGTAGCCCTGTTTCTCTGAGCCCAGCGCTGTATGGCTTTACATGTGACCAGGATTTGATTAAGACAGACTTTTCCACAAATTAGACCTGTGCTGTGTGTTCAGATTGGTCTTGATTGTTGTCTGCCGTACTCTCCTCTTAATTTTGTTGCCCCTCTTATGATTCCTCTTGATGAGTGATGTTACCCAACAGAAGCCCATTTTCCACCACCTGGTACTGGCTCAACTCGACTCAACAAAATCTTTTAGCTGTGACAAACAGCTACATACTGAGAATCAAGAACAATAGTTTAATAACATATAAGAAAGCCCTTCGTAGTGCCTGAACCACATTTTATTCATCACTGATTGAGGAAAATAAGAAAAACCCCAGGTTTCTTTTCAGCACTGTAGCCAGGCTGACAAAGCGCCACAGTGCTGTTGAGCTTAACATTCCTTTCTCAGCAGCAATGACTTCATGAGCTTCTTTTCTAATTAAGGGAAGATCTCCCATAGATCTCTCTGAGTTTACCTCAACAATTGCTTCATCTAAATCATCAACATGTCTCCTGGACCCCATCCCGACTAGGCTGCTCAAAGACGTCTTTCCCCTAATCAACAGGGAACTATTGGAATGCTACTATACAAGTAACCCCAGCGAGAGGGGTTACATACGGAGAATGTGAGACCTAAGGATACTTCAAAACCCAACATCTAGACTAACATCAAAACAACTAGTAGCTCAGTGCTCTGACATCCGCAAAAAGCACCTGCTATCACAACTACAGATTGATGAGGTACAACAAATGCTGCAGCAAGGGGGAGCTAGGATGCCAGGTCAGGGGGGAGATAAAGGACTGGTCTCTATACTTGTCCTCTTTTGCTGCTTTTGACACCACTGATCACAACATCTTGCTGCAGAGACTTGAACATGTTATTGGCATTAAGGAAGTACACTAAGTTGGTTCAAATGTTAATTATAAGAAAGATTTCAATTTGTTCATGTTAATGATGAATCTTCCACACAAACTGGTTAGTCACGGTGTTCCACAGGACTCTGTGTTAGGTACAATTCTTTTCACTTTATACCGGCTCCTTTTAGGCAATATTATCAGGAAGCACAACATAAATTTCCATTGCTATGCAGATGATATTCAGTTATATTTGTCTATGAAGCCATATGAATCAGATCAGCTGGTCAAACTTCAAGCTTGTCTTAAAGACATAAGGGCCTGGATGACCTGTAACTTCTTACTTCTAAATTCTGACAAAACTGAAGTGATTGTGCTTGGGCCTGAAAACCTTAGAAATCTGCTGTCTAATCATATAGTTACTTTAGATGACATAGCTCTTGCCTACAGTACTACTGTGAGGAACCTTGGAGTCATCTTTGATCAGAATATGTCCTTTAAATCACACATAATCCAAGTCTCTAGATCTGCCTTCTTTCACCTGCGCAATATTGCAAAAATCAGGAGCATCCTGTCTCAAAGTGATGCTGAAAAACTGGTCCATGCATTTGTTACTTCCAGGCTGGACTGCTGTAACTCTTTACTATCAGGATGTCCCAGTAATTACCTAAAAAGCCTCCAGTTAACCTAAAATGCTGCAGCCAGACTACTGACAGGAACTAGCAAGAGAGAGCATATCTCTCCCATATTAGCTTCTCTGAACTGGCTCCCTGTAAAATTCAGAATAGAATTTAAAATCCTTCTCCTAACATACAAAGCCCTTAATGACAAGGCTCCATCATATCTTAAAGACCTCGTAGAGCCTTATCATCCGAGCAGAGCACTTTGCTCTCAGAGTGCAGGTTTACTTGTGGTTCCTAGAGTCCACAGAAGCAGAATGGGAGGCAGAGCCTTTAGCTATCAAGCTCCTCTCCTATGGAACCAACTCCCAGTCTCAGTTCGGGAGGCAGACACCCTCTCTACCTTTAAGATTAGACTTAAGACGTTCCTTTTTGATAAAGCTTATAGTTAGGGCTGGATCAGGTGATCCTGAGCCTTCCCTTAGTTATGCTGCTATAGGCCTAGGCTGCTGGGGGGCCCCATGATGCTCTTGAGTTTCTTTCCCCTCCCCTCCTGTTCTCCTCTCCTCTCCTCTCCTCTCCTCTCTCTCTATGCATCTCTATGCCTCCATTACACATCACTAACTTTGTGTCTCCTCTCCCCCATAGTGTGTTCTCTCTCTCTCCCTGTACTTCTCTACAGGTTGCCCTGGCTCTGGAGCTTTATGCTTCTGATGCGAAGCAACCGGTCGAGGCAGAAGGCCGCCCACCAAGAGCCGGGGTCTGTCGGAGGTTTCTTCCGTTAAAGGGAGTTTTTCCTCCCCACTGTCACCAAGTGCTTGTTCAAGGGGGATTTGTTGGGTTTTCCCTATGTAATAATATTGATAACAGTAAGGTCTAGACCTTACTTTGTAAAGTGTCCTGAGATGACTTTTGTTGTGATTTGGCGCTATACAAATAAAATTTGATTTGATTTGATTAATGCAATCAGCAATACTTTTTTTTGGGGGGGGGGGCTATGTGGTACACCACCTTCATCCTTTCATCCTGAGAAAGGTCATGTGCTATGTCTGTTTTTAAATGCACATGAGCTCACCCTAAATCAACAATTTCAAAAGTAGCTTTGGTGTTTGCAATTCATTCTAAAACCAGATTTTACACCCGTTATGAAGACAGTGTTATAGCCAGTAAGCATGAAAATGTATTATGCTACAACCACCAAAAATGTTGATTGGCTGCAAGGTATGGATTAACTGGATAGTGTAAAGTAACACACACCTGTAACACAGACTTGTTTGCTGTTATAAATTAGTGCACAAGTATTAAATTGTAGATGAAGACAGCAACAGTAAGGCTTAGCCAGACAGCTTGGTGCTGGGGATATTTGTATAACCACCAGCACCAACAGAAACATGCAGAAGTTGTGGTGTCAGTCTGAGGAGGGACAGCAGCAAGGCAGAGGAGGCATGAAACCATGAAACCAAAATTCAATAGAAAATAAAGAGAGGTGGAGAAGTTACAGGTTAAAAAAAATACAAAAAGAAAGACAGCCATAGAACTGTGTGTCCGTTAGTTGATAAAGCTAATGTGTGTTTGTGTTGGGGGGTCAGAAAGAGAAGCAGCTTGTCTGTGTGAGACATAGAATAATGCATTCTCTCCTGACTTTCAATCCCAAAATACCTGGTATCCTGCACTTATCCCACAACTATACAACTTAGCATGTGTTCTACAATAACATTATGCAAACTCTATACCAAACTAGCCACTGAGCTGCACTCAAAGAAATTGCAGTGTATATTAAAACTACATTAATCTGCCTCTATATAAAGTACACAGAATAACAGATATCACCACATACGTATATATAAAAAGCATGCACGCTTTTACCTTTTACTCCAAAGAAGCTGTCCACATACTCCTTGATCTCCAGGCAGCCCCATCCCAGCAGCTGCCCCACCTTGTCTGATATGCCTTCCAAATCTTTGACGTCACGCGCACGACAGGTGACCAGCACAGTGCATCCTGGAAGAAGCTGACGATTTAACAACCCGGAGATGAGTTGTACAACAGGCAAAGGGGCGTCTGGGTCCAGTAGTTCTCTCTGCACCTCTTGTCTGGAGAGTTTGCTGCGAAACTCATCATAGCCATCCAGCACCCAACAGCTTTGCTCTGGATTGGAACGAAGGTAATCCACAATGGCTTTCTGTTCAAACAGAATATATGTAGAACACAGAAATAAAGACAACGTATTACTTTATCTGGTTGAGCTTAAAGGCATACACTAGTGGATGTAATTTGTTGGTTACAGCTGTTTAAAGAGATTTAAGTATGGTTTATTTGTAATTTAAAATAAATACACACTTCCAGGAACCTGAAAAATGGTTAAAACGCATGCTTTGACTGATGAACATGTTGAGTCAGCCAAGGGTGGTAAGTACTTTCAATTGCACTGAAGAAACTAACTCAAGTGAGACATGCAACCACAGCATCACACATCATATCTCCTAATCCGGTGCCCAGGTATAATAATTTTTCAAAATCAAAGGGACTGTCCCTTTTGACAGGCCAGGTCTGAGAGCAGTCTGAACAATGATTTCAGTACAGAACTGCTGTAGGCATTATGATAAATGTAACCTGCTACTTTCACAGGGCGTGCCGGTCGATTAATGTCTATAGTATATACCACAGATGTAACAGCAGTTGACTCCCATCTGGGTAACTCTTCATGCCTCTCTACATAGTCGAATAAAGCTAAAATGCCATAAGAAAAAAACGATCTAAAAAAACCTAACATACTTTCGCACTGAAAACCAGAAAAGCACTGACTAATAAAAGTACTTGCTAGAATTGCAGCTTGCATACCTTTTTGTCGTCACCCCCTTTTGGAGGGAGGTAGTATTGGAACAGCAGCTCAGACAGCGAGAGAGGGTGAGACAGTAGACTGAGCTGACAAAACTCTAGCAGGATAAACAGGTAGGATGAAGGGATAGGGCCCTGGATGATAAGAGGTATGGCAGCAAGTAAGGGAGAGGATCAAATAAAGGTAGAATGAGAGAAAGGGTACAGTAGGACACAAGACATACAATAAGACATTCCATCTACTGTAATTCCCAAGATGTCACATTTTATATTTTAACCCTGATTCTGATCCAAGACAACAAATATTGAGCAGTTCTCATACTGAGTACTGAACCAGTATTGTTATAGCTGCACAGTGATTACACAAATGAAAAGGTACAACAGATGTCTGAAGCCTGTAAACTAGCCACATTGTCCAAAAATCTGACAGTAATTTTAGAAACATTTACTTGAGAGAGAAATGTCAAGTAGCTGATCCTTCTTGTTTTAAAAATAATTTGAGCAACCCTATCACCAACCCAGAATAGCAGCACAGAACATCCTTAATAATGCAAACTAATCAGAAGAATGTATGTGAACTTACAAGGCCACGTGCCCACTGCTGTCCTAAACAAGACATCAGCAGAGTTTTTCCTGATCCCGGCTGGCCCACGAAAACTGTTACCTTTCCTGCACATCCTTGGAGGAAGGTCTCCAATGTCACTCTAGGTTCCAGAGAGCCAAAATCCCCATCAGGCTCTGGGGTTGATGAAGAAAATGTGTTTAGTTAGTGGACAACAGGCTTTATTTATGCATGATTAGTTAGATCTGTATGGCCAGGACACACCACAGAAAGTCTGTTTTGTTCTTTTTCATCTTACAGTGAGGTACATTTAAATCTATATTTAACTGAATTTAGCAGATTCATGGTGTCCAATAAGAGGAGGTCATGCTAACCTGGAGTTCTGCTCCCTCTGTCTGCTGACCCTGGGGTTTGATCAGGCCTGTCTCTGCCTCTGGTTGACATTCTTTGGCTGACCCACACATTGTCCAGCTGGACCTCTCTCACCAGGTGCCTACTCAATCGCTCCCACCGCTTCAGCAGTAAATTCATCACTGAATCAATGTACTGCTCCCAGTGATCTGTCAGTAGAGTATGATATAAAACCCATTAGACATGCATTCAGTCTCTTCAACAAGAAAATCATTTGTCCTGAGGAGGTGCAAAGTTGCTATGAGCAAATGAAAATCAGCCCTGGATACAACAAACCACATGCCACAGATGCAGATAATGCCTTTTTTATTTAACTGCAGTGTCAGCTGACAAATACTAGTTCACATGTAATCACAGTATGAAACAGAACTTATAGTTTGGAAACATCTATGAATGCACATTTACTAAATATATTGACTCATACAATCCAAAACACTCACTCTCAACAAATAAACTACTCAAAACCAAGTGCTGGACATTTACAGTAAATGCACAGGGAGTTGTTTCTTAGTTGTTCTAAAACTAGATAGCTTTGGTTGGCACACAAGAACTGTTAACCCTAGTAATGTAAGACTCAACAAAAGCAACATGGTTAAGATTCCTGATTTGCTGTCACAACACATTACTGTGGAATGAAAACCTCTCATACCTTTCACTTTTGGTTTTTATTGCCTGTGCAAAACTTATCCTGCAGATCTATGGTTGCATCTTGGTAATACCTTAAATACCATCTCCTATTTCTTCTCTCTCAAGGAAGACAAGGTATGAAATGTGGTTGTGCAAAGATGAACCTAAATGGGTCTAGAACATGGATGACAAACTAGATACAACATTTCAAGATTAAATTTAAGTGAGCTGCTCCCCCAGCAAACACTGACTCCTCATGTTTATCCTATTGACAAAAGCACTTTTCACAGCTTGAAGTTTAAAGCTGCACTAACTGCTCTTTGACACCCATCACATCCTGTTTCCTAGTAACCATGATTTTTACCTTTGCATTGACCAAATCATATTAGTTCAATACAAAAGTAAAATCATGGTGATGCTAGGTTGCTTAAATGCTAACACATCCAGACGTTAAAGAGCCACATTTGAATCACATTTGAGTACTTTGGCTGTTTTTATCAGTCTCCATCTCAAATGTTTTTTTTTTTTGTCCCACTCTCTGTGAACATTACCTCTTCAACAACACAGAGGCCCTGTAGGCAGCAAAGTTTCATGGTGGGTAGTAGAGCAGAGTGACATCATGTCCTGTCACCTGACTTATGAGACAATGTGTAGTGAATGCACCTTTAACAAATCTTTTAAAGTTAAAAATTCACAATACAAACAGTAATAAGGTACCTTTGTGCTGTTCACTGTGTTCAATTAAGACATACTTATGTCTTTGAGAAAAATACTTTGTAGGGTGTAGGGGATTTTTTTTTTTACTAGGCCTATTACAATTTCCATCAGGTCAAATTGGCAAGGCTGATTCTGCCACAGCACATCTAGTGTTCCTAATAAATTCATGAACTATGACCAGTCAGTGGCTATTTGCCAGGTTAGTTGGTGAATATGATTGTGGCTGCAGTGTAACAAGGCTGAGGTCTTGTGTGTATTTACTACCAAGCCGTGGACGTTTGATGAGCTGCTGTTCCGAAGGCGGTGGAGAGGACTTCTCATCCGGTACACCACAGTCATCTACAGTGCAGAAAAACAGAAACAAAATATACAGTACATAAATACTGTATACCATGGAATGCTAGAAAATATCTAACACTATCAAGTGCACTGCAAAAATTTTGAATATTGTGTAACAACTATTCTTAGGCCATCACCTATAGTTTCTAAAATATCTAGAGACTTAAAAAGATTCTAAAAAAATCTGGGGCTTCCCAGAGTGAAACAAAAATAAACAATGTGATTGTTAGTGAACACACCACAGCTACCTTTCATTTTCATTTTTACACCTAATACTTTGTCAGCAAGGCTATATATCTGCTGTGGGCCATCGCGGGCGACCTAAACACTGTTTTGGTCCTGAAGCTTCGCGGAGAAAGGGTGACTGCTGATTGTCTGCAAATAGTGACAGCTGTGTATACAAAGCTAGTTACGATTACTTTGCACCCAGGATAAATGAGTGCAGACTACAGAAAAAAGAGGCCATGAAAAAGAAAACAATTCCAATATTTTCTGATGATCAAGAATTCAGTCTCAATTTTTATTATTGCAGATGAGCAAATGTACAGATCTACTTTAAAAAAAACATGTCATATAATAATAATTTCTGCACTTCTTGCTCATATGAAACCACTATACGTTTGCCTTAGGTTTAATTTTGAGAGCTCTTTTGTATGTGTTCATTATGCAAATAGCCAGCAGCTGCACAAAGACATAATAAAGTGAAGTGAAACAGCACCATAAACAGCCTAAAGTTTTGTGAACTGAAGAACATTTGCCCATTAGCTTTGTTTATATTAACAAGCGTTTACCTGTGTTTCTCAGAGACACTGGTTTGGCCGCTGGAGATTGTACAACATTAGCTGAACAGTTAAACAGAAAGCCATGTGGTTAGTCAAGTCAGCACAAAGACAGTTTATTTGTATGAATAAATATCAGCATACAGTGAACAGGACAAACTGTAGCATCTGCAAAGGAGGTGCTTTCCATACGCAGTAACAAGCATATAGAGAAGCAGACACACACATACAGTACACACACACACAGTTCTGTCTCAACCCACAGCCATGGGTCCTGCCTTTTGTAATCTTAGTTAAATTGCCCTTCACAATACAAACAAATTAAACGTTATTTCTAGTCTTCTAGAGACTGTCCTCAACACATTGAGTTATGTGTAGGAAATTCATGTGCATGCACATGAAGCACTAACTTTACGGACTTTTTAAAAATACATTATTGTATGTTACAGTCTGTTTCAGACAGTATGCAGGCCACCTGACCATTGAAGTGAGTGCGCACATAGTAAAGAGTGCACACTGGAGAACCTTCCTGCCAGAGACCAGCATCACTTATGAACATTTACAGTACCATTACTCACTGTATGCATATGCAGCTGCTGACATAAGCCTTGTCTCCAGGTGTAGGGGGATATTCTCACATAAGATACACATCCTCTGAACAAAGTCGCTACAATGTGCAACGCTGGCCGCAGTGAAATAATCCAGCATGGCTTGGATGAGTTCTGTTACTGCTGCTGAAGAGGTAGCAGGATGGCCAGGGTTCAACCCAGCACTACCGGGCATCAGCTGGCACAACTTCATTATGACTGTGGGTGACTGACTACTAAGGATGTGGAAGAGATCTGAGGATTCCTGAGCCAAGATGGAATTCACACTGTCTTCATCAGGGTCAACTTCCTGATCCATGGTCACCATGGTCAGACTCCATCACCTGGTGCACAGACAAGCAAATATACACACAAGTCAGTGTTTCCTGTACCATTATATTAGGGAACCCCCCCCGAAGGTCAAGTTAGTTTTATTTTCTGTATAGCGCCAGGTCACAACATAAGTCATTTAAGGTTACCTTTCCTTTAGAACAGGTCTATACCTTCTTCTTTTATTAAACAAATTAAATGGCCTTAAGTTATTTATCTTATTTACATGACGGCATGCCATTTCTGTCCCTACATGGTTGCGCGTTTGCAACTCTCCTCTGCTCTCTGTATTGCGTACGGCGGAGTTCCGCCCCGATGCATGAGCACACACTCCCACCAGCGGACAGCTGATGAAAAATAAGGGGAATATAAACACTGTAAGTACATATGTACATTCACATATAATCAACTTTAACTGAGAGGAAATTTGCAACAAATTCTGTAACACCTACTGAATGCACACTAATATAAAACTCTTAGAATTCTCTTTGTTTCTGTCACAATAATCTAGCATTCCCACGAGGAAGCTCTGGTAACGCGTTTCCTCAAATATCCATATAGGTTTTGGATTCAATTTTATTCAGTAACAGATAAAGTGCATCTATCTGTTAATTAAAGACTAATTTAAGCGTTTTATAGAAAAAAAAATCTAACAATAAATGTATGTTTACGCATATTTTCATTGATAGCTCAAGCGGGTATTAGAGATTCTTTACTTTTGCTCTGACTGATCGTGTGTTCACGGTGGATGTACTGTCCAAGGAAAACTCCATATGGGGAGAAAATGTGCCTTTTCTCCTGATAGCCTCAAGCCTGTCCTGAGACAACCTCGAGCCGAGGTCATGTAAGGTAACGTGCACCGCCTTTACAGTCTGCTCAGTGTTTAGTACGCAGCCCTATGGAAAAGGGGTTTACGGAGCAAAAAACCATGCGGGATAAAGTTGACTCGTTTCAAAGTTAACTAATACTCAGAAACCAAATAAGCACTTACCGACAGCCGCAGCAGTAGACTACAACTCTGCAGCCAGGGTTATCTGCTATCCGAAACGAAACCAAAAGTGTAGAACTGTTTTGGTTTCACTTTTGCGTAATCCGTATTTAAATAACGGCGCTAAAACGGAATAATGTAATTATAGCCAAGACGCCATAGAGGTTTAGAGGAAAACCCGGTATTCCTGGCCTGGGTGTGTGTGTAATAATAATAAGAAGAAGAAGACGAAGAAGAAGAAGAACAACAACAACAACAACATCATATTACATTTTATTTTGAGTTAACATGGTTTAATCTTCGGCAAATATATCATTATAGGCTCAGTTAGGTTTGCACTGAAACAGCTGGTAGAAGTCTCCTTCAAATGATTACTTTTTACATGTATACTTTGAGTACATTTGACAGCCTGTACTTTTTAAATTTTACTCACGTAAAGAGTTTGCATCTGTACTTCTACTTTTACCAGAGTACTCTTTTACACAGGTATCTGTACCTCTGCTTGAGTAGCGAATGTGTGTACTCTGCTTAAGTAAAAGTACCAAAGTATTAGCATCAATATATTATACTTAAAGTATCAAAAGCAAAAGTACTCATTATGCAGAACTGCATGTTTCACATTATTGTATATTACTGGATTCTAACTAGTGATGCATTATATTGTAAATGACATTTAATGTAGGTGGTAAAGGTGAAGCTAATTGGAAGTACTTTACATACTACAGGGTAACCTAATAATTTCCCAGTGAGGATCAATAAAGACATGTTAATTTTATTCATTTGATTCTGAAAAGTAACTAAAGCTTGAAAATACACATAACCTGCTCCAGAGCAAGTTAGGTTTAAAGGATTAGATCAAAACCTGTCAAAAGCATGACCAGTGAACAATCAAATCACTGGAAAAGCTAAAGGATCCTGACAGGCATAGGGGCAAAAGAGTTAATCCTGGGTAATAAATATTAAATTGCTATTTCTATAGAGCAGTCATATTGTTGTTCAGGTCTTCTATGGGTCCCTCTGGTTTAAAGCAGAGTTCCTAACAAACTGAGGGAGTCTACACCTAGATGATGATCAACACTGTATTTTAGTTCCACAAAGATTATTTGAGTTCAGACCAAATTCCTGACTGTGTTGATGCTTTTATAGGCTCCGTCTCTGCAGCTCAGAATAACATGAGGAGACTCTGTGTTGATAATTGGTCTTTTATTAAAAAATAATCTATACACTGTTAAATATTTCCCATGATTATAACTAAAGATGTGACTTTAGGTGTAACTCCTCTCCAACGGAATATTTACGTTATGTGGCAACATGTTCACAATAGTTTCTTCACCATCAGACAAAGATGAGTGGCTGCTTCATGCTCTTTCAATTTATCAAGAAAAATATACTCAATGAATAAGACCCTCAAAATGGTGCTAATGTATTGTATATTCTTAGTCTTTCCTTAATAATTGAAATTTTTATCTAAAGTTTCAGTAGCTTCTTATTTTATTCTAGTTATATGACCATAGCCTATTGCCTCCAGTTGGCCCACTGTAACATCACATTTTCCTCCATGTTTTCCTTGCTGGTATCACTGCTTTATCTCATACTGCTGAATTTACTGCACATGGACGTTACAATATAAAGAGTTAATAATGCAAAATGGAGACTTTAAAACAAGCACAAAAAAAACACCTCAAAGATAAATATAACAGTAACAAACAATAGTTAAACACTGAGTAAATATGCTAAGTGGAACACTAACATGGTCTTTTTCAGAAACAAATGCAAATATCAGATCCTAGTAGCTCTTTCAGTGTGATGAGATTTGGAGCTAATAACAGAGATAGGTGTGATGGAGTGAGCAAGTAGACTGAGTAACTTCAGGTTTCACTCAGGCAGTCATTCCACTGCCCTGATTGGAGGAGGAGGAGGGTCTGACCGAGGACAGAGAGGAGCCCATGTTTGGCCTGCAGTTAAGCAGGTATAGATCCCTCAATACCCTGATACACAAACACAGTATTCAGCTAAATATAAGCAGGTACAGACAGCCAAGGAGTGCAGGAGCAGGGAGATACTCAGATCAGCAGGCTGTGCCACTTTGCTATTGGCTGGCGAATTGAACGCATCATCAAGCTCCAGTGTTTGTCTTCTGAACTCTTCTCCTTCCCCACAGTCAACTGTCCAATCATATATTTGGTTGATTTCCTACTTGTGTGAGTCTCATACACAGAAACCAGAATTTTACACTGCTCCAGAGGATACTCTGGTAAGGAGAACACAAGGACCTCATTGAAGACAGTCACCAGGCACCGGGCCACTGCAGAGGTTTTTTGGTACCTCAATTTACACTGGTTGCACTGCACACTGATCCTGGCATGCAGGGCTGTCCAACACAGGCAAATCAAATTAGAAGCAGTATGTTATACTGTGTGTCCTTAACAAACAGTAGCTTTGCTTTTATGAAGGTGTGTTATTTACCTGCATCAGAGCTTATTTCAGTGATGGCTGTTCTGACCTTCAGCAGACCAACCTCAAGCCTCTGAGATGTGGGGAGTAACCTCAGTGAAAGAAGCACCTCTCCTACAAGATCCTGTCCAGAACATGAGAGGACAAACACTTCAGCACAGTGGTCGGTTATTTCCATCTATCTATTGACTATACCGTTTATCTTTTCAGAGGGTTGTGGGGGAGGGGTAACCACTCACATTCTCAACTACGAGCAATTTTAACTCACCACTCAACCTAACCTGCATATGTTTGGACTGTGGGAGGAAGCCAGAGTACCTGCAGAAAGCACACACAGGCATGGGGAAAACTCCGCACAGAGAGGCTCTCAGTCAGTCACAAGGTTTGAACCCAGTATCTTTTTGCTGTGAGGTGTAACCACTGTACCATGCTGTCATTTATTTACAATATGAACATATAGTGACACTGTTGCAGGCCCATAAATGACAGAATTAAGCACAAAGAAATACTACAAGAGCACAAAAAATAGTGCACCCAAGGGCAAATTCTAAATTTTGCATACATAGCATGGTTAAGATCTACTCATAGATTTTCAACTACCGTAGCAGAAGCTTCAGTTTGTGTGTGTGTGTTTTAAGTAGCTCATGGTAGATTTTGAGGTCTGCTTCCATAATTTGCTGCTGTTTAATGGAATTTGTTCCTCTTTCTTTCATCCATGTAATGTTTCCTATGCCTCTGGCTGTCACTCATCCCCAGAAAATATTTTCAGCCCCACCCATGACAACTAACATCAAAGAGCTCTATTTAAACTATCTCTGTGTGTCACAACTCAGTGTCACCTAACCCTTCCTGCTGCTGCTTTGCAGTCATATGAGGTTCTTGCTTTGTCTTTCTGCCAACTAGATCTTGTCTTGACCTCCACAGTTTACATTAAGCACCATTTGTTAAGGCATTAGTAGGCATTAGTTACCTTCATTTTACACCCTTGCTCAGCTTATTTAAACAAGCCTACTGTGGTTAAGTGTTAAGGTTTGAGTCAGAGAATTTATCAAAAGGGAAACTGAATCATGAATTTTTTTTGTGCATTCACAAATACAGAAATGCTATAACAACTCAAAGGACCAAGTTCCACCGATTAATTTGGGAAAAACCTAACTACTTATTTTAATAACTATTTCAAAGTGTTGCACATTGTGCTATGATGTGAGCGAATGAAGGCCGAAATGCAAATACCTCGACGACTAAACAGAAATCTCTAGAATTTATTAAACTAAACACAGGTGGCAAACAAGGGAAGCTAACACAAACGTGACTAACTAAAAAAGAACAAGCTTAACCTGCTAAACAAAGAACAATATAGACAGGGAGCAACCAAAATTAAGTTCACAAAAAAACAGAACAGAATGAATGCAGAACAAACAACATAACAAGCTGGAATGAAGAAAACTGAGTGAACAAAGGACAAAACAAACCAGATGTGTGAAGGGAGGGGGCTAAAACAAAACTCCATGAAGCCAGAATTTCACAAACCCAGATTGGGGTACTGTACAAGGGGTAGAGATACAGGTGAGGTGAAACAGGAACAAACAACAGGGTGATATGCACAGATAAACAGGGCCAGGACAACAAGCGACAGGTGTGAAACAGTAGTTTACCAAAGGCAGAGTAAAGCTGAGGTGGGTGAGGATGACAAAACAGGAAAGAATGTCAAAATAACAGCCCAAACCAAGAAGTCTCTGAGGACCATGATACACAGTGTCATTTCCCTCCCTTTTACCATTCAGTAGTCAAAATTGTCAAGTCTGACAAATATGACTAAAAAATAATAATCTAAAGAAGAAAGCTGTACATATATTGGGGTTCTAAAAGTACATCGGTTTAGAAACCTAAAAGACACTGAGAATGTTTCAGCTAGGTTTCTCCAGTGTTGTAATCACTTTAACATGTGCATACCAATGTGTGCTAAATGAATTCCTTAATTCCTCTAAAAAATGACAAAAACCTCTCCTGTTTGACTGCTCATGTGTGTGTGTGTACACACAGCACAAGCACAAATGTTTCATGCCCCACTGTACTGTACCTTCTGAGGTATCTGCAGGTCCTCATGTAGCTCCAGAGGGTAGGAGATGTTGAGCTGCCCTAGAGCAACCCTCACCTCTCCTAGTACTTCATGCCTGGAGAATTTATCAAAGTCTTTTACCTAAGACACGGATACATGACACACAGTTCACTTACAGAATCACACAAAAATATTCTTTTACCTTGATCTTTGTATTGAAACACAAAAGAATGTACTGTTATTTAAGAGATACAGAGAAGGAGAGAAGTGACTGTGTACTGCAGGACCTCTAGCCTGAGAATGATCTGATGAAGGGCCCAGTCGTCTTGCAGAATACAGCTGAACTGGTCTCCAAACAAAGGGTTACAGCTGCCTTTCACAGTACGAGTCTGCCACTCTTGCAGCACTGTCCACAGAGCAGGGGGTGTCCCTTCATCCTAAGAGGATCACAGCAGTAATTCCTTTATACTGTACAGAGACAATGGCCCAAGGCTTTAAATGAGAAACTGAAGGACAGTTTTGAAAAAGCTTTACCCAAGCAACAAATAAAAAGATGAAAGCTTTCAAACAATGGATTTATTTTATTCACAAAAATTCCTCAGCTGTATGATCTTTTAAAGCTGCCCAAGGCAAAATCATCATGTGAATATTCAGTCATTTTAACAGTCTAAATCAAAATGGTTTGAAACACATAAAAAGACAAAGAAAAGCTGTCTAAGTAATTAATTATGTCACTTACATTAACTTATGTCATGTTAAAACTAAATTACCTCCTCATCCGTAGAGCTTTCCACTCCCTGTGATCCTGCCCACATGAGTCGTATCTTGACAAATGGCTGGAGGCTGTGGGCCTGGGTGTTCTTCACAAGCCCTTCCACCTGCAAGATGGTGATCACCAAACAGGACTGCAGCTGGTCATGGTAGATGGCAAAACGCAGTGATCCATCGACCTGGTACAGCAGCATGAGTTAGAGAATACACCAAACACCTAATGATGATGTTGATATTGCTTGAAAATGTGCAATGCATGCTTTCTTTTGGTGATAGCTAACTGTGTCAGAAGACATTAGATGTCAAGAATAAGAAGCAGTCCGCATTTTAAAACAAACTCTGAACACTTGCCAGCAGCCAGGGAATGGAAAACTGGGATCAGCCCTTTGAACTACTACTCTACTTTCGGCTGTTCCCATTAGGGGTCACCCCAGCAAATCCAATTCGCATGAGTAATTTGGCACAGTTTTACGCCGGATGCCCTTCCTGACAGGATCCTGTTTATTTATCCGGGCTTGGGACCAGCACAGAAGTCACCGACATGAAACCCCTGTGGCTAAATACACAACCACTCCTGAGGACAATTTAGAGTCTCCAGTCAACCTAAGTTGCATGTCTTTGGACTGTGGGAGGACATTGGAGCACCTATAGAGAACCCACACAGCACAGGGAGAAAATGCAAACGCCACACAGAAAGGCATCGTGTCAGCCGTAACCTTCTTGCTGTGAGATGACAGTTCTAAGCACCATGCCGCTGTGCTCCCCACTGTGATCGATCTGTTGAACAGTCACTTTAATTCAAAGTGAATTATCTCAACAGCTACTGAATGGGCTGGCATCAAACACAGAGATTCTTGGGCCTATTCCACACACAAAAACACTGTCAAAAGTACATGAAGCCAACAGCCAGTGCTATAACTGTAACCATACAGTCATCTTAGTTAGTCAGAAGCCTGAAAAAGTTATTATGAGGTTATTATTTGTTCAGCTAGCATTGGGGTCTGTGGAATAGATCAGAGTGGGAGTGTTTCTAAGTGTAGCATTGGCATTTATGTAGCATTCTGATACCTCCATTCCACAATATAGTGTGTGAGTGTCATTCAGCTACATCTACATCCACCACTGTATGATATCACTTGATAAACAAAGGGGATAACGTCACGCACGCTAAAGTCAAGCAAATAAAATACCAATTCACATTCACGTCAACACTGAAAACAGAGTTTCTAAATATCGTCACCCTGGATGGAGTTTTCCAAAAGCTCAGTTTTCAGTGAGCAAAAGCACTGTTTGTGTGTGGATGAAAGACTAAAAGGCATAGAAAAAGTTATGTTTTTAAAAGTACCCATGTTTAGACAGATCCTGATGACTTGTATATAAGTACAAGCTGGGATACAGGTAGGGGCATGAATGTACTTTATGCCATACATGTACCGTCGATGTGACCAAGTGTAGTTTGAAAAATAAAAAAATAACGCTGCCACATTTGCCTGCCACTTCTTATGGAAAATCTCTCTCTATGGACTGGCGTCAGATATAATAGGCTTTACTGAACAAAGGTCAATAAAACTGAGCTGTTCCTGGAAGCAGCTAACTCAGCCTCTTGAAGCTCTTGTTTTCATAGCATTCTTTACTGCTCCTCCCTATGTGTAGTGAAAATAACCACTCCTTTGTTTTTAGTTTTAATCTGCCTAAAAACTACTAAAAATAACTGTGTTAAAAAGCTGGATTTTTTTTCAGTTCTTTCCAGAACATACCAGTGCTAGACACATACCATGTTTGTGTCAAAACAGGGACCTGTTTCAGGTACTTCCCCTGAAAGCTAACAGTGTCAGGATCCAGTGGGCACAGCACAGCTCAGTGGCAAAGCTGGAAACAGCACCATTATGCTACGGAACGTGTTAACACACTAAAAACACACAGCCTTATTCCAAATGACTGAGCAGGGTTACACATTAAGCAAACAAGAAAACTTTCCTTTATATGATCCAAATATGGATATTTCTTTTATGTGAGTTATGTGACTTGTAATGTTCTTTTACCTGCAGTATATTAAATGTATTATGCATCTCAGTATCTTGTAGTATGTATATCTGTATGTTTTTGTAGAAGCTGTGAAAACAAACCTCCCTCTGGGACAGTAAAGACTATCTATCTCCTGATTCTTCCTCTGGTGTCACTATGAGGTTGTAATTTATTGGTCAGACTTGGCGGTTTGTTGTGAAATTTGCTACTGAGGCTGATCAGCATCAGCTTTATTTTGTTTTCCACCAGTTATGTTATCATAGTAACAGTAAACTAAAATGGTGAAACTGGTAGATTTTACCTGTTAAACATCTGTATCTGAGTAGTGTCACTGTGAGCACACAGTACAGCTCACAGAGCATGGCTATAGAGGTGCTGACAGTTGTAAGGGAGCCTTGAGTAGTTTCTGAAAATAAGAAGTGCATAAACCTTTTGATGACGAGATTAAAAGAAAACTGGAGCTGCTAGACTTCTTGCAAAAACAGGTTTATATAGATTCTACAGTGCTGGTGGTACCTTTGTAACATTTGCTTCCTCTGCCATGTCCATGTCCGTCTGGCTGGATCCCGAGAACGATAACAAGGACTGAGACAGACAGCGACTCAGCTTGTGGACCTCTGTGCTGATATCCTCCAACTTGGGAGCATGCATACACACACAACCTGTCTCAGTGATGCGGCTTTTATTTGACTTGTAACAAGTCCCAGCTCTCCTTTGTTTGAACAAGAGTGCTCATTAATCTTTCTTTACAAAGACAGTATTGTCTGTTTGGGCCTGGACAAAATGACATTATTATGTGCATAATATTTTATATTGAAGATGAACTGAATAGATACTGAAAATTAAAATGTTTGAGAAACTTATAAAGTTGGATTTTCTTCAGAACTGAGTGATATACTGAGAAGTGTTCCAAGTATTTTGTCCACCCCTCAACAAAACCCCTTCTGCAGTTCTTGTCCCATTACACCATCCATCCATCCATCCATCC